CTCTAAGCCAATAGAAGCAAAATTTTCTATGTTGAGTATGAAATATCATTTTTAATTGAGTTTTTTATCAAACGCAATGTTTAAGCGATTTAGAATCAAATGATAATTAAAATTTGGATTCATTCGGTATATTACGGTTATACACGATTTAACTATTCATTTTCTCCTCAAAAATATTTGCGGCCAAATGGTAAAAGTGGGAGAGATTCTCATAGAACTCGAGTTCCTCGGAACTTCCTGTAGATATCCCAAGGCTTCTCAGAGCAAACTTTTGAAATCAACATGGAGGACGTGTCTCGATGTTAAGTTGTCTCGATGTTAAGTGTGAAGGATTTACTAATGAAAAATACTTTTTAAAACATCTATCGATTAACAAATTACGAAAGGGAAAAGCACCTATTGTAAATATTATAAAAATATACTAACTTGTACTACTTGATCATTTATTTTCTCGTGAAAATAAAGAAATTTGGTAACTTAGCGACGCCACATTGATTTCCTAACTTTGATCTGAGAATAATTCTTTAATTATCTAAATGAAATTTTTCAAGTATTCCGAGAATCTCTCTCCTTCCTTCACAGCTTGATTACAAGTTCTTTTTGACGAGGAACTTATCGTATGATTATCGTGATATGCAGAATAATCGAATTCAACTCATACTATTTTATTATTGTCCATCTTTAATATTCTTTTTTTCTCGGCAGGTGGATATTGAGAACTTTGAATATACGTGCAACACATTGAGTCTCCTGCAACTGGCATCAAAAAAGATTAGACTTCCAACATCTTGACAGTGTTTCAACGATAAATATTAAAAACACAAAATACCTATCCTGACCACGCTCAAATGAGCTTTTTAGTATAGTGTAGCAAGTAAAGATATAGATACAGAATGTAATATAGATACAGAGAACACATAAACATAATAAATATATTTATAATTACATGTAATTCTGCTGTTCTCAAAGCTTATGTCCATAGTTCATCTAAAATACCCATTCCAAGAGTCTATCATCAGCATCCCTATAAAAGGAAGTTCCAAAAATGCAATATAACAGCGGTATGGTAGATTAAACTGGCAAAACCATTGGGAGGGTTCACCACTGATGAGTCAGGCCCTCCCATAAATTTTTCCATTGCAGTAAGGGCAGTAGAAATTGTTTTATTTTTAAAAGAATCTTACGCGTCTATAATAGTTTCGAATTTTGATAACAGATGGCGCGCTAATGCATCATAATATAATAAAAGGTAACAATAATTAACATACAAACAACAAGTCTTCCACGTAGCTGGTCTGTCTTGCGGAATTCTACATAGTTGAGTTAATGTTTTGTTATTATCAAACTATTTCTCGTCGGACTACTGTTTTAGTGTTTTATATGTTTTTTATCAACTCATCTTGATTATAGCGCTAGATGTAATAAAATACGTCGGTGGACTAGTGGGTAACACCCTCGATTCCCGACAGTCATGAACCGGGATTGAATCCCGCGTTAACATTTTGTTTAATATGTGAATAACCATCACATATTATTCATTGTTACAAATATCATAAACTAGGTTGCTCTTTTTGAGCAGTACCTAATAAAGTGATTTTGAGGAGGAGGAGGAGGAGCGCTAGATGTGTGAGACCTAAAGATCGATATATCCCTGTACTTTATGTAATATATTCCGGCAATTTTAACGTTTTCACATGGATAACATTGTTTGAAGTACACATACATCAATATAGTATTCTAATCATATTGTAAGATAATTAATTCCTGAGAGAGAATATCTTATAAATATTATGTATGAAAGTGATCGCAAAATACTGTCGCGAAATGTGTTTAGAGTGAAATAATTGGTTGCAGTGGTACAGCCTATTCCACGCTGACGAGCGCCAACGTGTTCGTGGATGGCTTTTCTTGATTTATCAAGAAATTAGGTTGGGCAAATATCACGGGGGGGGCAAGTTAAAAAAGTTTGTTCATTTTTCCTCCACTAGATGGCGCTCTGCTATCTAAAAAGCACATGTGCTCGTGGTCAGGATAAGCCTTCTTTATTTTTATTATTAAATATGTAAATATTTTAATAGTTTGATGTTATATAAGAACTGTAAATTCTGTAACTGTATCAAATTATAAAACTATTTTAGAGGCGTAATATTCTTTTTAAAATAAAACAATTTCTACTGTCCTTACTGCGATGGAAAAATTAAGGGAGGGCCTGGCTTTCCATCGCAGTAAGGACAGTAGAAATTGTTTTATTTTAAAAAGAATATTACGCCTCTAAAATAGTTTTATAATTTGATAACAGATGGCGCTCTAGTACATTGTAACATCATTGTTCTAATAAAAGACACAATTTGATATTTGCGGAAGAGCGATTGCTCGAAGCATATTATATATTTATAATTATATTTAATTCTGCTGTCCTAAAAGCTTATGTCCATAGTTCTTCTAAAATACCCATTCCAAGAGTCTTACAACAGTCACCTATAAAAGGAAGTTCCAAAAATGCAATATAACAGCGGTATGGTAGATTAAACTGGCGAAACCGCTGGGAGGGTTCACCACTGATGAGCCAGGCCCTCCCTTAATTTTTCCATCGCAGTAAGGACAGTAGAAATTGTTTTATTTTAAAAAGAATATTACGCCTCTAAAATAGTTTTATAATTTTATAACAGATGGCGCTCTAGTACATCTGTAACTGTATATTTCTTTTTTTTTTGTTGTTGTTGTGAGGAAGTCATCACTTTATGCCTTTATTTAATACTAAAAACTGCTAAGATAGCTCTGTTTACCTCTATTCTTTAATTGCGACAATACTATAGATCTTTTATACGATTGCAATTTGATGAGAGATTAAGTTCTTCTAAAACCACACAGGCAAAGCTTTCAGCATAGAGAGAATATGCACATACCAATGTGAACATTCGATTTGACCATCGAGTTACCTACTCAGTCTAATTCCATAGAGAGAAGAACTTGCCAAGGCAAAACCTACTTCATGTATCAAGGTAACTATGACGATGGCCTTCTTTCACATAATCGACATTCTAAAAAGTTGAGAATTGCAATGCTTTTTCTAAAAGAGTTTAAAATTTATTTTTATTCACCTAGACAACAAAAACTCATCCCTATTGGCTTATTTTCAACAAAGGACAAATATAAAAAAAGTTAATGCTACAAAACTAAAATTTATTTGAAATTCTTTGGTGATAACGAGTTTTTAATTAATAGATTTAAAGTTGTGGTACATCTTTGTAATGAATTAGGCACCATAGCATGCACTAATAAGGGTAATTTATAATACAATATAATGCAGCTTATGATATCATTACTCTTCACAATTCATCCTTTCATACTTCATCCCTAAGGTTAGAAATAATCGTTATTTCTTCTTAAAATAAATTTCGATTTTCATTCAAAAGAAACATTTGCGGTATAATTTTCAAACTTCGTTCTACTAATTAATAGCTATCAGAAAAACCTAATTGGCATATACAATTCAAAATGGAAAGAAAATATACATAATGTGCGCTTGTATTCAGGTATAACTGTATAGAAGTGTGAGAAAACAACCCTGTGCTATAACGTAAATCAAAAGAATTTTACAAAAAAAAATGATATTTTTGCCGTCTATGATTATAATACAGCCAAAAAGTAAAATTGAATCTTTAGAAGATTTAAATAAACAAAATACAATTGAAATTTTGACTGAAAATATTGATAAAACAATGATAGAAAATTTGAAAATATTTTTAAAATGATTTTTTTTTTCTCTTTCTCCTTGTTAATATCATATGGCTATTCCTTACGGCCTAAAATTATTGTAAGCATATATGCATAGACAAATGTGGAGACATACATGTATGACATTGCAAGTGTCCCTAGAGGGACATAGCGCCTTAAATTGAAATAAATAAAAATTACATAGATCACGTAGTTCTAAATCAACACCATTGTGTCTGTGTTTATTGCTTATCTTTTGTTTATCATTCATAGTTAGTTCTTGCCTTAACTAAATTTCTCTGTCATCCTGAAGTTTGTCTTACCTAATTTTCCACGTGGCAATATCATGATCACCTGAATATTTTTCTAATAACCTCCTATATAAATTGTTCTTGAATGTAAATAACATACCACTGATATTCTATAAAATATTTCTTCTACGTAGATATCACCGCCAATTAAAAAGAACATTTCTTCCATGTAAATGACCACTCATCGAAATATTTCCTCAATGTAAACCCCACTCATCTAAATATATTTTTACATGAATGACTTCCAATCCAAGTATTTATCTTTGTCCAATGGGGGGGTCGGTGGAAGGCTGGTTAAACCGTTTTGTTTTCGACCACTATGACCCGGGTTCGATTCCCGCATTCGACACTTTTTTCTGTTAAAAAAAATGCTTCAATGGCCCCCGATTCTTGCAAAAGTTCAACCCCACCAGCGAGTGTAAGTAACCAAATGGGGCTCTGGCACATTTGTAAGTGCAAAGTCGAACTGCTTTTCACATGTGTAGACATGTGGTGCGCTTACAGTAAAAGCAGTCGCTAACTACCCACCATGATTATCATGGCCTGTACCACGTGTACTAGGGATAAGCAAAAAAAAAAATCTTTGTCCATCCATTTGTAAATTTTTAAATAGTTCCAAGCTAACCTAAATATTTTCTCCCCTCGTGTAGCCAATGTAGTGCATATGTATGAAATTCAGAACGAAAACAAAATTTGTTTAATAATTTATATAAATTATATTTATTCATTTTATAACACAATAATTTTTTGTTAAATTAAAAAGTTTCCGTTGTCACTGGAGATGTTTGGCGTCTAGAGGCTGAGGGAAGTACGGAGGAGGTGGAGATGTCTGGAACACAACAACATTCTGGTGATGTGACACTGAGTGAAATATCGAATTTGAACAAATTCTTGTCACATTTTGATGATCTCTGATTGTATTAGATTTCTGAAAACTAATAACAAATATACAGTTAACGAACGGAAAAATACGTCCAGGGTAGCCTAGTGGACATGGCATCTGCCCGGTAAGCGGAACATTGTGGGTTCGATTCCCATCGCTGGACACTTTTATTTTTCCGTTCGTCATTACTCTTCATAATTCATCCTTTCACACCTCATCCAAAAAGGTTAGAAATAGTCGATATTTCACCTTGAAATAAAATTTTAATTTGTCGTTGAAAAGAAACTCAAGCGGTGTAACTTCAAGTGTCGTTTTACAGTTAAACCTGTCTATAGCGCCCCCTCTTGGGACTCACCAAAATAGGGTGTTATAGACAGGTCACTTTTAATGTAAAATGTTTACATTTTAATGTTTAAAACCTGGCGCTATAGAGAGGAAGGCGCTATTTAGAGGGGCGCTATAGACAGGTTTAACTGTATATTCGAAAATATTATAGACGCGTATGATTCTTTTAAAAACCTTTTTTTTTCTACTGCCCTTACTGCAATAGAAAAATTAATGGGAGAGTCATAGCAGTAAAGGTAGTAGAAATTGTTTAATGTTTAAAAGAATCATACGCGTCTATAATAGTTTCGAATTTTTATCACAGATAGCGCGCTAATACATCATAATAACATATTTATGTGAAAAATTAATTTAAAAATAAAAGGTCAGGTGTTTATATTAAAAATATAATATTTTGGTCGCAGTGGTTACAGCCTACTCCACGCTGACGAGCGCGAAACGCGTTCGTGTAGGCTTTTCTTGATTTATCAAGAAATTGGGTTGGCCCAATATCACGGAGCAAGCTAAATAAACGCTTAGTTTATTTTTGCTCCACTAGATGGCGCTCTGCCATCTAAAAAGCACATGTGTTCGTGGTCAGGAGATGCCTTCTTTATTTTTAGTATATATATATATGAAAAATTAATTTAAAAATAAAAAGGTCAGGTGTTGATATTAAAAACAAAGAAGGTATTTCCTGACCACGAGCACATGTGCTTTTTAGATGGCAGAGCGCCATCTAATAGAACAGAAATCAACTAAACATTGATTTAGCCTGTTCCCTGATATTTGACCAACCCATTTTCTTGATAAATCAAATAAAGCCATCCACGAATTGATTTCTGTTCCACTAGATGGCACTCTGCTATTTATTTGTTTTTAATATATATATATACAAGGTGCGTTCATTAATTTCCAGGACTGCTCTGTATCTTTGAAAAAATAAAACAAATAAAAAACCTAATTTAATATTTTTCAAAATATTCCCCTCCTGCATCAATACACCTGTTTCATCTTTTTTTCCAATATTCGAAGCAGGAGATAAAATCACTTTTTGAGAGGTTTCTCAAGGTTGCCTTCGATTCAGCTTGTATCATATCAACGTTGTCAAATTTCCTTCCTTTTAACTTCATTTTCAATTTAGGATAGAGGAAAAAGTCATTGGGGGCTAAGTCGAGGGAATAGGGTGGATGAGGGATCTGTATGGTTGAATGCCTGGCCAAGAACTGCAAAACAACATGGACTGTGTGCGGCCGCGCATTATCGACGTGAAGTATCCAGTCATTGTTTTGCCATCTTTCAGGAATTTTAAGGCGCACTGCCTCCCTTAAGCGCCTCATTATCCCCAAATAAACCTCTTGATTAATTGTACGTTCGAAAGAAATAAATTCATGGTGAACCAAACCATTAATATAAAAAAAAATGTAACAAACAATGTCTTGACTTTGGATTTTGTAAATCTTGCCTTTTTGGGTTTCGGTTCCCCATTTTCAATCCATTGGCTGGATTGACGTTTGGTTTCCGGGTCATACTGATACACCCATGTCTCATCCCCGGTAATGATTTTTTGCATCCATTCTGGATCGGTCCGAGTCATTTCAACCATGGTTTTGCAGACATCCATTCTAGGCTCCTTTTGTTCCTCTGTTAGAATCCGGGGAACAAATTTTGAAGACGTCCGGATCATGTCCAAATCTTTTGTTACTATTTGATGACACAGTCCTACAGATAGTCCAGTCTCTGAAGATAAGTCTTTAATAGAAATTCTTCTGTTAGATTTAATTAATTCCTTTATTTTGAGCTTGTTTTCTTCGCAACGTAATGATCTTGGACGCCCAGTATGCTGATCATCGTTTACCTTTTCCCGACCTTTTTGGAAGCGTGAAAACCATTCAAAAGTTCTTGAACGGGATAAAGCTGCATCGCCAAAAGCTTCTTTAATCAATTCATACGTCTCAGTAGCACTTTTTTCAATTTAAAACAAAACTTAATGCAGATTCTCTGCTCTTCGAAAATGGCCATTTTAAAATTAGAAATGCGAACCTTACAAGGAAGTTGTTTTGTTCTATTTTTAGATCGGCGCGTGCGCCACGAGACTCGTGCTTTCAGTCAGGTGTGGTCGAATGTCCAATATTTAACTCTGTATACATTTTTTTTCTTTAGCTTTTTTATTCATTTTATTTTTCAACCAGTCCTGGAAATTAATGAACGCACCTTGTATATATGTGTCATAATATATACTCTTCCAGGAATAATAAAGCAAACCTAGAGCCAGCCCAGAGAGAGACGGAATGTAAAGTCCGGTCACTTGAGACAGCAGCGACATTCCAAGGGGCGGAAACTGGGGCCCGTCCGTCAACACCTTGGGACTTTTAAGACAGTTGGGGATTGTGTGCGACCCGAACGGCCGCCCGGCTTTGCCGGGGCCGTCTCTCTCCCTCTCTCTCTGGTTGCCTGGATTCCTCTTCCAACTTGTGGTGTGATTATTTCTCTTTCCCCACCTTATTATATTGCCACATATATATGCTTCTCACAATAGTTTAAAATCAATACTTAATAAGTTGTAAGATGTGAAAACAACGAGAAAATATTATTTGTTATATATATGGCTTGATGAATACCCATTCAGAAGACCATTAATTTTGCATGATGAAAACGTCAGCATAAAACATGATGAATAAAGGCAAATACAAGTATTCTAATTCCCCATAATATCTATTAAATAACCAGTAAATCATTCAGCTAAATTCATGGTTTTCTTTTAACAATTATAATTATTTTATTTTCAAAACGCTATATCCCGCAAGGGATACTTGCGCCAAACAAGGAGAAAAGTTTATTTACATAAGTTATTTACATTATTCAACGCATGAAAACATTATAGATCCAGATTTTGTAGAAAGTTTAGAATGTATTTACAAAATGAATTGAACTTTAAATATGATTTTTTATCGGAAATCAAATCGTTAAGTTTACAAACAACTAGTTCATTCTTCATTCTATAATCTTGAAATACGTACTTTACAAAAATAAAAACATGTTCCTGGTGATGAACTTAGTGCGAGATATGATATATAAATAAACATGAACTTGTTCGTGAAGAATTTAACTTATTTGGATCATTTATTCGGAACAAGAGCTCTGGGCTGTTTGCAAAAGTTTCAGAATTCTTAGCATCCAGACTACACGAGAACCTTGGAAATGTATAGAAGGTATAAAACAAGTTTATCATATTGATTTTTTGGAAGCAAGGCACTACTACCTTTTTTAAAATTGATTTCAATTAACACTAAAAAACCTCTATCTAAGAGAAAATTCGTAAAAATTTTAATACTTCGAAATATTTTTCGCTGCATATTTCTTCGCATGTTTATTTTGAGTGAATTTTGCGACAAATTTAGAATATCCTGGTCCTTTGAAAGATATCGGTGCTAGAGAAAAACTGAAGCCATCCATCTCTCTCTCTTCGGATTAAAATACCAAATGCTAGTCAGAGAGAGAAACACAAGTTACTCAAATAATATAATAGGTTTCTGGATATGATTTTTCTTTTCATTTTTATTGATGTATTTATTCATAATAATGAAAATAAACTTATCTCCAGAAGCCTGTTGGATAATTAATATCCAGAAGAATTAAATCAATTGACACAAGTTTCGTATCAGAATAAACAAAATTATGTTTAAATATTATTGTCCATCTCTTATCTCTAAAAAGGTCTATCAATTTAGTAGTTTATTGTGAATTTGTATTTATTCTTAGTGTTCACAAAAATGTGTTTACTGGATGTATTTACCTTAGTGGCAATCCCATAATTCGGAGGCGAGTCTGGGACTGTTGAACCCGCAAAATTGGACGGGGGATCAAGGTGGAAGGTTGCTGTGGAAGCTGGACTGGATATGACGTGGGTGTTCTGACCTCTGGAACCCCAAATGGCATGTCGTACATACATACAAGTCAGATTTACAAAAAAAAAAAGATAATTTTTCTTATTTGTTGAACACACATGATCATGAATAATCATAACCCCAACTGGAATAACAGTGAAATTTGACACCCTAACACCATTGATCCTGAAAAGTTGGTCTTCCTTAATTGACATGAACACTACAAATAAGAAAATAGTGACTCCTAGGAACTATATACAATTCATAGAATGAGGCCCATAAGAATACATCAACATTCCACTTCAGTAACATTGCAAAGATACGCATCCAAATAGTGAGCCATCATCGTTTGAAAAGGTGTTCGGTCTCTCGAAATATCTCGTGTATACTGCTCTGAATGAAATTAGTCGAATTTTTATAATACACCTTATTATTGTAATAACATATATAGGATAATTCATAAGATATATAAATATCAAGATAATAAATCAACACCATAGAAGTATTTATATTCCCATAAATATTTTTTTTTCTTATCCTTAGTACACGTGGTACAGGCCATGATAATCATGGTGGGTAGAAGTAGGCGACTGTTTTTGCTGTAAGTGCACCACATGTCTAAACATGTGAAAAGCAGTTCGACTTTTGTACTTACAAGTGTGCCAGAACCCGTTTGGTGACTTGCACTCGCTGGTGGGTTGGTTGGACTTTTGCAAGAATCGGGGGCCATTGGAGCATTTTTTTAAATCAGAAAAAAAGTGCCCAATGCGGGATTCGATCCCGGGTCGTAGCCATCGTAAACCAGCGGTTTAGACCACCCTTCCTGAAGTCTAAAAATGTGTAAATTTGCATTGTCAGGAGTATTTAACTCTTATATAAAATACCAGACTTATACGTGGTATGGAAGTCTATTAAAGTACATCACAAAATTCAAAAATAAATATTGAGATTAA